AGGGAACGTCTGTGATTTTAAAAATTGAATACTTATAATTAATCGAGACTTCCAAACAGAGTTTTCTTAAGATTCTTGACGTTTCACACGCTAGCTGCTGGAGAAGTTCCGCATCTCTGACTGAAACTGTTGCTAGTACTGCATTCATTCACTGATATTCGATTCTAACTATTCGGTTTAGCTCGCCGACCAGCGGTTGCAAGAAGCTTTTCTAATGGTGCCGGTGGCCCCTGCGGCTTTATGGCCTATTGATAAGTGTATTAGACCGGCTTTTAAAACTATGGCAATTAGAATAATCATAGCGCATGGTCATTCTCCAGAGGAAAACTTCCCAATCATGATCAGAGGAATTTGTTCGGAAAGTGTCTTGATCCCCTCTTCTGTTATTCATACGTCGAAGCAAATCAGATGGTCTGGCTACCCTGTGAAAGGAATGAAAGTCTGTCTTCTGAATGTCGGTCTTTCGTCACTTTCGTCATTGGGCCATTTTGGCGCCCTTTTCAGGGCGACGCTGATCTCCGTTTATATGCCATCAGCCAACAGTGCCTTATATTTTAAAGGTAGAGTCTACAGCCATGTGGCAAGCGTAGTGTGTAGCTTCATTTTTCCTTGAAAGAGAGTAGTCCTCATTTACCAACCTTAAAAGGAAGAAGGGCCGGTGATCTCGATAGGATATTGAACTCTGGACCTACGAGTTCTGATTTCGACGTTCTATCGACTAAGCAATCCCGGTCCGAAGCAATATACAGTAAATTCCTTGCTCCAGGGAATTCATGAATAAGACAAAGATTACCCTCAAGTGGAATCGAACCGGACACCTCAGGTGCTTCGAGGCAAACTTCTTAGACTTGTGCCAACACGCCACTGTGAATGAACTCGTTATCTATTTTGGATAATAACTGGAGATGGCACAAAGCACAAAAAGACCTTACAGATTATAAATTTCTAAGCAGGTAAATCGTTACTCACCATTTTATCAGGTATCGTAGGAATTATGTTAGACGGTGCGGTGACCGACTCCTGACATAATCGATAAAATCGCCCCATGCATTTGGGAGACAAAAGTCTAAAAGATCATAATATTCGATTAACATGTACAGAAAAAACCGCATAATATACTATTCTTAAAATACCCATTTACAATACGTTCAATATTGTACCGAGACCCTAAACACTGAATGGGTATAAAGTTCTCAAAACTGAAAGAACTTGGCTACTGCCTGTGCGAGAGCCAGTTTGTGCAGCTGGTTGACATTCTGTTTCGTTGACTTGTCGCCACTGCTAACCTCTGCATCCTGTTCGACAATGCATTGTTTCGCTAAGGTGGTTGGTTCGCATGGGATCTCTCATGTGAAAGGAATGCGGCTGTAACTGCCAAAGCAGCCTAAACGTCACATTTGTGTTTGTCAACCATGTCTGATCACCAGAGAAGCACACATGCCTGAAAGTGCTTCACTGAAACCTCGAACCAATACATTAATCAATAGTTTTCACAGGCAGAATGTGCGTAGCAGATACCACAGATTCAGGCCTGTGACAAGACCTTGACAATGAAATTATCGTTTGCTTTTATTTTGCATCAAGATGCTGTTTCAATTTTTCATACTTCAGCATTACAGTAGCTGGAATTTTGTTTGTTGTGAATAAGCAAACTTGAATTTGAACAAGGATTACTCTGTGCGCTAACTCGTTTCTAAAAAACATCACAAAAAGACGTTTTGGGAATGTCGTTTTTAAGTCACGTTAAGAATATAATCTCACTTTTTCTCGATGCAAATCAGTCTGGGTGTGACAAGATTGGCGTGACTCCTTTATACCGACGTTTCGACCTCAGGCACAGAAGCCGTCATAGAAAATTTTCACAAGCCAATATTTTGATTAAACTGAATACTTTATATTCTTTGAGAACGTTTCTGGAAAATACTGAACTAACTGCTGAAAACGAAAATTCCACTCTTCCAGTACTCAACATCGTGAAGATCTACATTAAATAATTTCTGAGGCCCATACGCATACCGTGTCGTGAATGACACGAAGCCAATAGGTTTTCTGATCTCATGGTTGACAACAGAAAACGAAAGT